CCAGGATAAAACATCTGCCAGAATTGACTGATCGAAATTCGCTTTTTAACATTGACAACGGAAAGATTTAGCTCTTCAAACGAAATAGTTTTAACTAGCTAGTTTAAATGATTCACATATCTTTTCATATTTTCTATATAATAATAATTGAATATATATTCATAATGAATATATATAACTTTTCTTACAGATTTTAACGGTTTAAAGAGTCCGTAATTTCAAATCCTTGATTTACTGAATACTAAATAGTTTTCAAAGCAACAACATTTAAGCATGAATGAAATGAAAGTTTTAATTTATGCCATTTATACAAAAGTTTATCATTATCTTAAATCTTACAGTTTTATACAAAAAGTACTGGATATCATACTAATCTATATTTAGGTTAATATCAACTTTCCACTGAGTATTCATTTGCTTTGTTTTACTTAATTGAGTTTCACCAATAACTATTGTCTAAAACTTAATGTTATTTTTAGTTTCTATGGTAAAAAACGTTAATATTAACGAAGTAGTTCTATATTCTTGATTACTTAGTTACTAAAATGACTCTTTTTGAATGATGTTACAGTTGTAATAGTAGCCTTTATGTTCGAACTAAATTTTTTTATTTTTTTCTGACAAAATCAATACCATTAACAAAACACCAGATAATTTATTTTGGCGTCTAAACGATTATTTTCAGTAATTGATCAATAAAATATTACACCCTTTCAGTAATGAATATATGATCCATCAACGATTTTGCTTAGTTTTATCGGTAAAGTTTTAAACATACTACTCAAATGATCAAAATTTATGAATCAATAGTGAGAACTATACATTTACAAATATTTATAACCAACTTACTATCAACTGATTTGATTAACAATTATAAACATAGTAAATAAGTATATAGTCATGATAAGAAGTCAACTGAAAGTAACTACAAATGAACCAAATGAGTATAGTAAACACGACAACATTTTTGAGGTATGTACACAAAGTCTAGGATCTAGGATTCTTCTCATTCAGGTGGAAGCTTAATTATAAATAGTGACTTTCCCACAGCCCACTTTTGTAATTTCTAATATGTTAGTCAATTAATAATTGACTATATAAATAACCTTCGTGTATCTTTATTGTTATTAAAATTATTTTCATATAGTCAAACCTGTGAGTTCTTAATTAAAACTTACCACTGATCATTGAACTGTTGAAATGTATGTCCTTAAAACAAATAATTCTTGTTTTGAGACAGGATTCTAAAGTGTAAACAAATGGGTAAAACTTTTATTAATATTGATTCAATAATCAAAATATCAATCTTTGTTAGCAACTCAAGATAAAGTAATTTTCTAGTTCTCATTCTTATACTTATAATGTTCAAAAAGATTTCATTATGTTACTGAAACTATCTATAAGCTTGATTACAAAGTCGCTTAAATTTCTGATACATCATCAGTTGGAAACCTACTTAAAAGCAGGAAGCATTCAATCAGTTGATTTGTCCTTGTTTTTAATTATTTAGCAGTGGATTATAAGTCTTGATGAGTAGTTGTATACTGCATGATGAGTCTGTGCTAAATATAATGTGAATATAATGATTCATGTAGAATTTACATAATCCCAAATATTAGAAAAGTAACCAGGTCAAGAATCTGATAGGTTAATAGTTAGTTAATAATATTTGGATATAGGTGTACCGATCTCATAGGAATCCTGATTACCATATTATTAGATTCATTCACATATATTCATCTAACAATAATATATTAAGGCGGAAATTATATTTCTATTCAATGTCTAATAATAGATTTTGTTTTGTTTAAAAAGCAACAGTAATCGGTCGTTTTTGTTAAAACTTATTAACTAAAAATATGAAAAGCGATACAAATTGGGGTTTTTTTCTCTCTCACTCTCTCTCTCTCTCAAAAATGAAAACCAGTACACACTCTAAGAAGATGAACGAAAAAAACAAAACTTTGAAATGAACAAATAAAAACAATGAATGATTCATTTATTACACGGTATTTTATTCAAAAATATAAAAGAAATATAAATGTTAACTGTTGCTATGGCTACATTTATTTACATTCATGTCAGGATTAGTGTATAGGTGGATAATAAGAATGTATTTGTTCTAGAAATAAAATAAATGTAATGACAATATTAATATGAAAACCTATTATCATTATTCTACCATTGATAAGAATCAAATATCATGCATTGCAATTATATATTCAGTATGACTTGTTAATGTATTCGATTTCCATTCATTTTATCCAAGCATATTCATGTTTACAAGTAGACGTAACCGGTTATGAAATAACGGGAAAAGCTCATAACGATAGCTGATAAAATGATGTGTAATTTCATTAAAGTAGTTGTGATGATCCTTTAGTTACTAAAATGATCACAAAAACAATATTCATAACAGATTTCGAGAGTTAACGATGAAGAACTAAACAAAATACGACATTTCGATAATGTAATGAGAAGATAAATATTATCAGAACTATGTGATAATCTTCTGATAATCTTCGTCTTCTCATTACATTAACGCAATTTATCAAATGAACTAATTGCTTTAAAATACAAAATTGTTCATCAATTAATCATAAATGTTTTAGACCCACAGTTGGTCAACCCAGTCTCGAATAACTCAATCATACCATTTCAGACTGTGAAGCTGAGTAAAGCGAGTCCGGGTCCTATATGTATTCTCAGTTCCCTCGAGATTGCGAATTCACCATGCTCACAGAAACAAACTATCACGAAAATTAAGTTCAAGGTTTCCTGCTGACTACATCTAATCACTTATTCACGATTGTAACATAAAAATACAAATTTATTCTGATTTATGAAGTTACGTATCATCTATTAGAAAAATAAAATGTGATATTAATTAACTTCTGCTTGCCGTTACACTTGACCTTTGGTTAATTGCATAGTCGATTATATATTTATACAAATAGGTATAACACTAGGAAATATAAATGACTACATATTTCATACAATCAGACCGAATATTTTTTTTGTTCACGGGAAATATAAGCAACAACTTCTTCTTGAAGGTTCTTGATGCTATCCAACCGAGAAATAAAATAATATAGTATGCTGAACAGTGGTTTCTTCCCCATGACAATGATAGCCCTTCTTTTTAGTCCTTCTAAACATCTTAGTGACGGCACAGTATTGTTTTTCGGGTGAATGCTTATGGCTTTTCTATGTTCTTGCTAATTTTCGTCAAGCCGACTCTCTATTCACTTTCTCAGCCATCCATAAAAACTCCAGGCTAAATCTGCATGACAACTTGAACACAAGTGAGAAGACGTGAAGTTTGGTTATCGGGATTTATTTGACTCCTAAAACAAATAAAAATAGAATGGGAATAGAGTGTATTTTATGTGATTTATTTAAAACTAAGTTAATGGTCAGATTTGTATAAATTGAATTGAGTTGCATTTAATAACAATAATAATTCAATAACTTACATTGTGAACACACGGTTACAGTATTATACAATCAAGCATCTATAATCCTTTTTAAGATGTGAATACACGTCACATACAATCGGAATAAAATCAATTTCTAATGACATTCGCATTGATTAAGCTATTACTCGCCGTATCAGTTCTCTTAACTTAACTTTAATTGTAGAGCTTTCAGTGTCGTTCTAGGAGGCGAATTAAGTACCTGGTTCATGTAGAAGTTGGCTTTTTAGTTATCCCGTTAGTAAAAATTCAGCAAAACATAATAGTTTTGTTTCTGATTGGGTGTATTTGTTTATTTTGTTTTCTTCGTTTGTCATTGTATTCCCATCGACTGTCTTCTTCAGTTGACCTCTGGTGATGTGGTTGACTGACATCTTTCGTCCGGCTTAAAAAGTAAGGTCTAGTTTCAGTATCTATGGAGTTGCAGTTAATATGGAATTTGTCGACATTCTTAGAATTTTCCCCAATTTATAATTTCAAATTTTCCGCTGTAACATTCATGTGTGTGATTGTCCACATTGTTTGATGGTAATTATAACGCATCAAGTCGTTTCACTGTTAGTCTGTTTTCATATAAGTGTAAGTGAAAAAGGCATCGAGTTGTTGATTGTAGTGTTACTCACAGTTGGTATAGTTTATTTTGTATGTGAATTTACATCTGTCATATTTCTTTGTTGTCTACATTATAATAGAATGTAGTAACGGTATTAGTTTATAAGCTTTATCGATTTCAAAGGGCTTGATTTAGATTATTTTCAGATTCTGTAAGCTGATCTGTACCCTGGTTTCTGGGATTGATTTTTGCAATAGTGGGTTGGATCACCAGGTATCTTTTGATGAAGTAGGTCAAATAGCCTTTATTACAGAATACATACTAAAGAATAATTCTTTTAGTTTCATGTCGAAATAAGTTTTAGTTTTTTTAAATAATGTCTACGCAGAACAATGCTTGGGCTTTGTTGGACTGTTATCATTGTAATTTTGTATTTCACTTATGAGATTTAATTTTCTATTGATCTCCAAAGTGAGTCTAGAACTCAGCATCCATCATTTTCGAAGGCTATCACGTTGTCCATTAGGACATTGATTCACAATCTCCACTTACGTGTTTCAGTTATACGATATTTATAGATTTTTTCTAAAAATTTGTATGAGTACCAATAATTTCGTTTACTGAAATTTTGTTTATTGCATAAATATAAGTGCCGATTTCACAAAACCATTCATCTGTCATATAAATGATTGACCAGCAAATCACGAAGATTGGTGATTTATCAAACAATTCGTTACATATTTCAGACGATTTTTCGTGTATTATTCCTAACAATTTATATTCTCTTATAACTGAAAACTGGTCATTTTATCTCTGATTGGCAAGTGAACAATGAAAACCGATGAGTACTTTTTTTACGAATACTTGAATAATCCATGATTCCTAATTCATCATTCAGTTAAACACAAAACAATATCGTTATTATTAAATGAAAAAATCTACTTCTTTCTACTTTTTCTTTTCTCCCGTAGATTCCTGTTTTCTACTCACTAATGCACGTATACTAGACTTTCCAATTGTATATGTTAGTAATGGATTTACAAATCTCACTGAATTTGGTCGTATTGAAGTAATGCAAAAACCTGGTCTATGTCCATTTCTTCATGGACCACAAACAGACAATTCAATTATAATGACATTAGAAAATGCATTTAAAGAACAAAAATCTGAACATGTTGAAGTAATTTTATACAAAAAGAATTGTAAGTCTATACCAAACAGTATGTGCATTATAATTGAAAGTAAAAAAAGATTCTGCTTGGCATAAATACTTCTGTAAAATATTATGTAATGTTGTATTAATAAGTGTTAACATAGACACGGAGATTAGAACTTTGAATGTTATGAAAGAATAATATTGATGGAGTTTTGTTCTCTGAGCTGGATGGTTTGATCATGGAGCTTTCATCGTCCTTCTGAATGACATCATCAGCATAAACGTCTCCACCATCTCAAGAATATTAATGAAATACATCGAGTTCCAAAAATCCACTATCAGTTAAAACATTTAGTTAGTTCTTTTCCTTAACATAAGTATAATGTAAATCAGAATAATTTAGACCAAGATATTTTATTCTACTAGTTCATTTTTAAAGCTGGCTAAATATCATGTCAGACCAAGTTCTATAACTTATGAATAGAGTATATCGAGATTAAAGCAGGATCTTTCACGTTTGCTTCAAGTATCATATCATTAAATCACTGAGTCAACACAAATTGATCCATATCTTTAATATTATTCGATTTGCGAAATATCATGACCCTAGTCTAATCCCCCTAAACTAATGTCAAACCAATGTGTTTTCTTTTCTTTTAATGGATTTTTAAAAAAATTATTTATAAAGATAATGATAAGTATATGTTAAATGCGTTTTAATTTACAATAACATACGATCAGTAAAGCTGAAGAGCTATACAAGGAAATGATACCATTAAATAAATGCTGTTAAGTATCGATAAGTAAGAGGAAGCTTTTTAAATAAAATGTACTGACACTAATCACTATTGTAAGCAACAATGAATAATGGATAACAGTGGTATCTAGGACGCGCGTTTCGTCCTATTTGGGACTCGTCAGCTGGATCTATCTGCATCCTCGACATCAATGGGAAGATTCAAACAAACAATATTAAGTGAATTAATCACTATTGTTTAATTCGAACAATCAATTACCTTTTGATAAACATTTAGTAGTATGTGCATGACCAATCACATGTGATCTAAGTATAATAATATGTTTGTGGTTCATAAGTATAATATGTCAGCTAATTTATGTTTGAATATTATTTATACTTAAAAAAGTTCTTTAATTCATGTAAGATCTCATGATCTAAGAATTTCAATACATTGAAACAAAGGATGAATAGTATATAATGAACTCTTCGATGGCTTACTTACTTTCTTCAACCGTTAGAGTAATTAAGTTATATAATGAGGCCTTAGCAATGACTTCTTGAGTATCAATTGTATCACACTTTTACAAAGAACAAATGAAGCAAACATGAACGAAATAAATAAAGATAACATATAACAAATATTATTTTACCAAACACATGTATAAATCAATTTTATTTGTTGTCATTCTTATTATTCTTCAAGTGACCCCATTATGTATTTTGGTTGAATTAATTCCAATTCGTAATGATGAAGATTTGGTAGTGTTATTTCTTATCACATTCAGAGATTTAACAGCATTTCGTCAACCATTGAAAGAAGAATCTGCTCAGACATCAGCATTAGGAGCCTTTGCAGCTGCAAGTGACGCCGGAAGTAGTAAGTTTAATAGTATCATGTTTGATTACACAATTTCATCAGTCTGAAGAACCTATCGAGTTTAGTAAGAAAATGTATCATACTGCTGTAGCTAGACATTGACCAATGATAAACTTTGATTTGTATCACTGATAAACCTCATGTGTAGTATCTAAGTTAACAAACATTTCAGTTTTTACTGTTTTATCCAACAAATGTTTACTTATAATGAAATTGTAAAATACTGTATCAATAATCAACTTAGGATTGGAACTTTTAGGTTTAAAATTCCTGAATCTGACGATAACTTGAGAACTAATTCAAAGGATGATACACCGATAGAGTATTTAAGATAATTTATAGTAGTGAAAGCAAATATGTTATACGATTGTAGAAAGGAAACAACAAATACTGCGCAAATTCAGATTGATGCCACGTGTTTTTTTATTGATACTCTATAAAACGAATTCCTTTGAAGCTTACAAATATTAGGATAAATATGGGCAGGGTCATCATTCATTGTTCGAATTAATGTATGCACTAAAATAACTTACAATTCATCCGCTTTCTTCTAAGAAACTACTAAAATCGCTATAAAGGATGGAGATGAAAACTCATTTAAAATTAAATAGACAAACATGTGTATTAGCTAAACCTAATTATAAGACTGATAACAAATTATTAAACCTTGTAAACAGGATGGATAAGTTTCAAGTTTGCTATTCTTTACCAAGCGATTTCGAAATAATACTTATATGTCTGCACATTAACAAATGAGATATGTGAATCTATCAAGTTTATCTTAAGTATCTTTAAATTTCTTCCGTATAATGATCTTTTAAACTTAACATTAAACATTTTGGAAAATAAAATCTAATTCGATTTCATTTTATATATATTTATATTAAGGTTGGGGAAAATTTGCACGTCTAGTATTTGCTATGGTAAGACAGAAAGCTGAAAACTCAATTACAGATAATCCAGAAAAAATATATTCACCACAATTAAATGTTGAAAATGAAACAATTCAAGGTGTTCAATTGAAATCCACTGAAAAACAACAAAATCAACAATCTTCGGAATCGGATAAAAATATAAACAACACAAATGAATTAACCATCACCAATGATAGCAGTAATAATAATAATAGTAATAGTAATAATAAAAACGATGAAATTGAATTGATTATTCCATTGAATCAACGAAATCAACGTAAATCAACGAAATCTTGTCATCATTATTCAGCATCAAATATTATTGATAATCTACCATCTAATATGATAAGTAGTAGTTATATGAAATCATTAAATAAATTAGAATCTGGTGAATTAAATTTATATAATTTAGAAATTAAATCTAGAAAGCATAAATATAATATATTTAAGAAACGAGTAAATAAAAAGTCCAACAATACTGTTTTGAATTCAAAAAAGCTTGGAAATATCAAAGTAAGTGTCTGTTTACAAAGATAATATTACTATATTTTGATTGTATCGTTGGTTTTATTTGCTGAAGTACTTTTAAGAGATTTGTAGGTTCGACAAATAAGCAGGATGTATTGTAAGAAAAGATGGATAGTGGCTAGCAGTGGAATTCAGTAAGCGCGTTTCATCTTATTTGGGACTCGTCAGCAGAATGTACTTGCATCTCAGAGTTGATGTTCACTCTAGGACTCGAACCCAGTACCTTTCGCTTCAAGCGACATCGCGTTATCCGCGCAGCTACCAAGTCCTGATAGCCACTTACTTGTGCAATGAGGTGAAGTTTAAATTCACTTAGTATTGTTTGATTGAATCTTTCCATTGATGTTTAGGACTGCAAATGGTCATTCTCTAATTGGCATATATGCCTAGTGTGAGTGTTGCCTCCATCTTTGCTTACAAAGCTTGTGAATTAAGGCTATATCGAGGCAATACTTACAGTATGCACATATGCCAATAGGTGACTGATCAATTGCAATCTTAAACATCAATGGGAAGATTCAACCAAATAATGCTAACTGAAGAAGGATGTATGTTATTATAAAGAAAAGGGATTAGATTGGGAAAGTCAATGCTTTCAAAATGATTTTAAAAGAAATATTGATGCAGAATAATATGAATTCATTATATTTCGGGGTATCTCATCAACTACATACAGCCAAATATGTATTAACATTGGGGTAATGAACAGTGTGGAGCAATTGAAATAATTGAATGTAAAGGATTGGAATAATAAAAGGTTATCAATGATAATTATATATATATATGCAAGGAAAGGTCAGAGGTTATTAGGTATTAGAATGAAGGAAGCATAAAGGGTGGGTGGCGTAATAGTTGAGAGGATTTCAAAGACAGATAAGATCAAATTTGCGATAACTGCATGATTTTAAAATGTTTGATAAAGAATGATTGATAAAATATATTCATTTGGTATTGTTTACTTGTATCTCCCTAATTCTGTTTAGGTCTGCAATCGATCAGTCTCTTGTTGGCATATGTTTAACCTGTGCGGATTGTCTTGATATTGTCTTAAACCACAAGGTTTATTAGTAAATAGGACTCAGTAGCTAAGTGGATAGTGTAATGGCGCTTGGAGCGAACGGTATTCGGTTCGAGTCTCAATGTGAAAAACAACTCTGGGTTCCATGTACATCCAGCTGACTCTCAAATACGACGATATTTATCGTCCACCTGAGCTACAAATTTTCTCTATCTCAAAAACAGTTTTTATATGATTATGGATGAATGTTTAATAACAACTCAAAAATTTACAAACCGAACAATAATTTTTCGAATTATAGATTTTAGACAGATGATAATTCAAAGTGTTTACAAATAAAGCGTATCATAAATTGTACTGATGCGAATTTCAAAAGTACATTTACATATACATAACAGTTTTCAATTGAGATCTTTTAAATTATCAGTTTAGACTTTATAGAAAAAAAAACAATATTTGAACTCATTTATTCGATTCATATGTTTTATTGTTATTTTAGGGTACAAATATAAATGGAGATGTAGACGATCTTTTTAGTAATCAATGGTCAGCTCCTGAATCAGTTCCACGTTATCGTCCAGAACCACCATGTCCACCTAAACATGTACTATTACATTACTCAGTTTTTCGAATTGTATGGGATTGGACAATTTTATTGCTTACTGGTTACACAGCTATCATTGTTCCATTAAGAGTTGCAGTTATTCCTCGACCAGCATGGATTCCTTCCTCTGAATCTTTAAGTGTAAGGACAAATAATCAAAAAGAATGGATTCATCCAACAACTTTAGAGCTATTAACTATAACAGATGCGATTACTGATATTATTTTCGGTGTAGATATTGTATTGAATTTTCATACATCTTTTGTTGGAGCCGGTGGTGAGGTGGTTGCTGATCCTCCAGTTATTCGAATGAATTATTTGAGCGGTTGGTTTACATTAGACTTATTGGCTTGTCTTCCATATGAGATATTAAAATATTGTTGGCCTGTAAATAACACTGTGAGTCATAGTAATTTTTTTGGTTACATCATATTATCAGATATCTTTGCTACTATGTATATTATCATAGGTCTGAATTTCTTAAGTCCATCTCAATAAATGACGTAATTAAAAGTATTTGAGGTATCAAACACAATCACCCACAATCATCTGTTACAGACAGCTAATTTTTATGTAGTTATCACCTATTGTAATGAACAAGAACACGAGCGGGGACAATCAAATGTATTTGAACACTAAATTACAGATTATGTTACTAAAATCTGACAACCATACAGTATTAATTATCAGAAGGGGTTTTGTGGAGATTTAGTATTTTTCATAGTAGAAAGCATGAGTCAATTGAAGCTAGACCACCATGGAAAACCTGGAAACACTGGACGGCCGTTTCGTCCTATTATGGGACTCCTCAGCAGTGCGCATCCACGAAACCATACAGTAAATAGTTAATTTGCAAAATAACGATCAAGTGGCTCAATCTTGACTGTTCCTTCTGTAAATACCAGTTCAGCTTCTCTGATTTCATTGTTCATGCATTTTCATACCGATTGCATTCCATTTTGGTTTTTTCCTTATCGATCTTCTAGTGAAATACATTTTATGTCTGACCCTCACCTTATAGTGCTTATGTGGATATACGTAACCCTCACCACACTATGAGAAACATAATTGAAATCATGTTTTAATACAAATTATGCTTATTCAACACATTTAAACCTTATTTCAAAAGAGTAAAGCAAACATTTACTCTACAGAAGTAATCTATGAAACGAAAACACCAGTTTCATATGATTAAGGAAGTTTATACTTGTAATTACCATACTTTATATTATTCTCAACAGGTCTTAGGAATGTTAGATGGTAGCTTACTATCTATTTCCCTTTAAACATTAAATGAATACCTTGTAGCATATTTATTGTTATAGATTGAAACATTCCAAAAGTTCAACTGTCTAAATAAAATCACAATGAAACACGAAAGGATTGTAGTTTTCACTGTAGTTTTGCTAAAAATAAATCGGTGATGTAAAGTATATGATAACCAATTTCAACAAAATGTCTAAGCTAATGAAAAACTATATTGTCCAGAATAGAAATTAACCATTCTCAATTCAGTCTATTCTTCCAGAATGCAAAACCACAATCATGTTTCTGTTTTTTCTAATATTATACACTTAACCATAATTCATGTATTTCTGAATAAATAATTCTGATAAATGCTTAGCGTAACTCTTAAAACTTGACAAATATTAAACCAAAAAGTAAGGAACTGATAATCAGTGAAAGAATTCTTGTCAATAAATCAATAAATTCGCTTTTCTCCAACTGGCTTTAAAACATATTAGACTACTTTTGGGTTTAAAGATCTCAAGTTATATAAGCAAAGATGAATGGTGGCTAACAGTGGAATCCAGGATGTGAGTTTCGTCCTAATTGAGACTCGTCAGCTGAATGTATATGCATCTCAGAGTCAATGTTCACTCTGAGACTAGAACCCAGTACCTTTTGCTTCAAATGCCATTGCGTTATCCACCCAGCTACCAAGTCCTGATAGCCATTTACTTGTGCAATGAGGTGAAGTTTAAATGCACTTAGTATTGTTTGATTGAATCTTCCCATTGATGTTTAGCATTGCAACTGATCAGTCTCTTATGGGCCATATGTGCATGCTGTGCGTATAGCCTCGATATAGCGTCCTGGATTACACTGCTAGCCACTAACCATCTTTGCTTATAATGCTTGTGAACTAAGGTTATATCGAGGTAATACGCACAGTATGCACATAAGAGACTGACCAGTTGCAATGCTAAACATCAATGGGAAGATTCAAACAAACAATACTAAGTGATTCAAGTTAAAGAAGTTGAAAATTTTATCATTTTCAATAATTTCTTTTGTTTTTGGCATAGATATTGGTTGTATCACCACCTAAAAATGAAGTAATAAAACAGTTTATACTTTCCTCATATGATTTATGGCAGTCAATTGAATATAATGCATTTTCTAGTGTTGATCAATAAACAAATTTCTTAAATTTTAGTCTTTTTTTAAAAAAAAGAAGAGTAAAACTTTTCAGAAGATCTTTTGAACGTATTCCAAATTAAAAACAAATCAAATTTTGTTACTTTATGATCATTAACACCGTTGGATGCCGGCTCAGTGGTCTATCGGTTAAGGGCTTCGGCTTGAGACTGGCAGGTCCTGGATTCGAATCTCGTGGATGCGGGATCGTGGATGCGCACTGCTGAGGAGTCCCATAATAGGACGAAACGGCCGTCCAGTGTTTCTAGGTTTTCCATGGTGGTCTAGCTTCAACTGACTCATGATTTCAACTGTGAAAATACTTTATGATCAGTCAATTTTTCTGTTGCGTTTAAATATATGTATATATATACCCAAGTAAGAGTATTTACAGATTATGACTATCATTGCAATCTAGGATGATTGTTTCATACTAATTAAAATTTTTTAGGCGGACGTACCCCGATCCCAATATCTATGCCTTCATATGCCAAACTGTTATTCACTAAGTTAGTGTATAAACATAGACATCGTACTCAAAATATGCAATATTTCTTGGTAGAAGTTTGTATTATTCAGTTATTGATACTTAGGACTCAATTACTATGTGTTGATATTTATAACGGTGAACATAATATTTATGATAACTCATGATAGTTATGATCCAGATGTTAAATTTTTAAAAAAAACTCACTTCATGCATTTATGACTTTAAGGTGCAATGACTAACCTTAGATTAGATTGTAAACTTTCAATACTGAAGTACGCATATTAAATCGACAAATATATTAAGGTACTATGCTAGATGGCTAATTATCTTCGCAAAATACATCGAACCATTGTAACAGGAATTTTAATGGACAGTGTCATTGAATTTGAAATCAAGATAAAGTCACAGAAGCTCAAAAGTCCTTGATCTATATGTTACGAACTGAGTACTCAACGAAGTTATATAAGTAATGGAAATGCTAACTGAATAGTTCATCTTCTCATCACTACGTGAACGATACAAGAGAACTCATACATGCTAGTGGATAATACTTAGATTCTAGTAAAGGACTAGATTATTTGTGAGCACTATTAAATCATTTCACAAAAAGGAAGCATAACCTCGAAAAACATTGAACATTTAGTTATAAAATATTTTTCAAGTGTATACATTACGTAATGAGCGTTTTTAACAATCAGTCGTATACAGAAGTCTGAATATTACTGTTTATCTATCTTCTCATTAATAGTGACCTTATAAAATGATGAAGTGATTCATTTACAGTTGTAGAATTAGGTAATTACTAGTCAAATTTCGTTAAAGAAGAATAAATTTTCTATTAACTTGCATTAATGTTAAGTTTATCCACTGACAGAATAAAGCATCTACCGTAAATAACTTAGAAGACAATATCTACGGTGTAAATCAATCTCTGAATACGTTAAATAACAACGATAACAATAGCACAATTGAAGGGAGTTAGACTATAGTAAAGAGTAGAACCGGTATAAATACTCTTATATATTCAAAAATGTATCCACTGCTTACATGTTGAAAACAATTTGGGGTTCTGTTGACGGAGATTAAAAGAATTTAGTTTTACTAATTCTGTGCACTGCTAATGCCTCATATTAGTTACCTAGAAAGTGACTCTACATAGTTACATAAGATTATCTCGGATGTAGCCACTGATACTTTTAACATGAATATTTGTGTAATGATTAACTAGTCGTTATGTGGTACATGTTACTTATGCTGACATATATAAGTAGTATGTAACACCAATCGGAAGTGGAATACCTGGTTGCAGAAAATTGATAAGATCGAATTGAGGAGAACAAGAATGTAAACAGACAGTAATTGTCATAACAACAAAAATGAAGGAATGATGAAGTTTGTGAGAGACAACTGATGGAAGATGTGCAGATTAAGTATTTAATGTACGGTTCCTACATTTTATGAAGTCAATCGGACAGTCGATCATACTACCGTGTACTGGCAACTAACCCCCATTTTGGAACATAGGCTAACGATGTAGTGCCAACATACTTCAAAAATTCATAAATGAAATTGATTAGCGATTTATATAGGGTAAGAGAAAGGAGTAACGCTAAAGAATGTTATCAGTCAACAGTTGCTAATGTCTACTACGATTAGTTATTCTTGATTTTAACCAGTTTCTTTGAATTCGAAAATATATAATTAGAAGTACTGACCAAATCAGTTTCAAATTTTCCAGTCAGCTTTTTATTATAAAACAGAAGAATAAACAGATATATCAATATACCTTTTAGTCTCCATTTACTCACTCTTTTTTAACTGCTGAAAAGATATTAATTTCAAATTCCATAGAAAACTGTATTCATCTCATCAGGAAATCAGAACCAAAGATAATATGATATTACTATTTTTCTATATTAGCATTTTATTCCGTATCTAATTCATACAATTTCAATCTTTTAATTGCCAATCATATTTTTCTAACAATTATAAGGAGTTGTTTGTGGAAATAAATAGTAATTTTTTATATATAGTTGAAATCATAAGTCAATTGAAGCTGGACCACAATGGAAAACCCAGAAGCACTGGATGGCCGTTTATCAGGATTGTCTATCATTTTTATTAACATTAAATTTTACGCCATTATAAAAGGAGAGCAGGAATATAAGTTTGTGTTTAAACAATGATTTGCTTAGATATCTCCTATTTTTGAATACTCACTAAAAATATTATAATTATTTGAAATTATGAGCTAATCTAACTAAAATCATCATAGAAATCAGGAAAATCGGGATTAATTCAGAAAACTATTTTCTGTAAAGTTAATTATTCATAGCGTAGTGAACAAGAACACGAGTGAGGACAACCGAACGTATTCAGTCACAAAGTTAAGGAATATGTGAATCATATAGTAGATAGTTAATTTGCAAACTGTCAATCAATTGTCTCAATCTTAACTGTTCCTTCTGCAAATATCAGTCCCTTTTGTCTGATTTCATTGTTCATGCATTTTCATACCGATTGCATTTCGTTTCCATTCTTTCGTTATCGATCTTCTACCGAAATACATTCAATACCTGACCATCATTATATACTACTTATGTGGATATAAGTAGCCAACACCACAATAGTTCAATATTGTTTGATTAAAAATTTTACCTTATAGTACCCTATTTGTATGAATTATATAATTTTAACAACATTTTACTAACAATATGGTTTATTTCTTTTCTGTCTTTAAAATATTCATTCATAGGAAGTTTATTATCTAATGGATGCATTACGTATCATTCGATTATTACGAATAGGACGTGCAGCTAGACGAATTGATCAATATTTAGAATATGTATCCACATTATTATTATTAATGATTTTATGTTTTTTTCTATTAGCACATTGGTTTGCATGTGCATGGTATGCTGTTGGTATATTTGATATAGAAAATAAAATTTATTATGGTTGGATACCAAGAATATATAATGATTCATTAAAACCACAAAATTGGGAAGAATTTACATTATATGATAATAGTTTAACAGTATCTATGATAAATTTAAATAAAACACAATTATTAAATCAACATATTACTAGTGTACATAATTCAGTAGTGAATTTCGCATTGATTAATTCGAATTCACAATCAACATCACCTTCATATATTGAATCGTCAACATCATCATCACCATTATCATCATCGCCATCATCATCAGCATCATCGATGAAGTCGAAGAATCATTTCTTACAATTAACTAATATTACTAATTGTTCAATTAGTAATATATGTATCAATGAAACATTACAAAATGATACAACTATGACTAAAAGTTTAAAACAACAAGAATATAATAATAATAATGTTTATCATATATTATCATCATCATCAAATTTACCTCTACAAAATTCTAAAGAGAAATGGACTGCTTATATAACAGCATTATATTTTAGTTTATCATTACTTACCACAATTGGATTTGGTAATGTAGCCGCATTTACAGAAAGTGAAAAATTATTATCAATTTGTTGTATGCTTATAGGTGGTAAGTGACCTCTTGGATATGAAAAATTTTGATTCTTTTTTTGTATTATGGATGATTGTTATAGTCGAAATTACAAGGGTTCATTAATTGATTCTACAACTTTGTAAACTTTAACTTAAATCTTAAATCAAAGCTTTTGGTGTCAGAGATTATTCAGAGAAAGAATCAGATAATTCATTCATATTATTCTTTGTGTGCGTGAATAAACAAAGTGGTAATTTTTTATAGTTGAAATCATGCGTCAATTGAAGCTAGACCACCACGGAAAACCTGAAAGCACTGGACGACCGTTTCGTTTAAGTATGGAACTCCTCAGCACTGCTCACCACGATCATGCTCAGCGTGATTCGAACCCAAGACCTATCAGCCACGCGCGCGAAAGCCTAACCTCTAGATCACTGAGCCAATATCCAATGGTGTTATTGTCTAACTTCAACCAATCCACGAAATTTAGCATCATATTCTTACTAGTGACTGACTTCAAGAGATATTTCCTGGAGTTCTAGTGAGAAACAGTAACCAGTGGAGCTCAACCAGATCTGTTATGTGATAGTAACTGACTGAAGACAATGATGGATGTGTCGCTCAAATTCGTGGAGTGGTTGAAGTTAGACATTACCACGGTTGGATGCCGGCTCAGTGAACTCGAGGTTAAAAACTTGAGCGCGAGACTGAGAGATAATGGGTTCGAATCTCGCTCGCGAGGGGGGATCGTGGATGCACACTACTGAAGAGTACCACGACAGGACGAAACTGATATTTATTCACATCTTTAGTTTATTATAGCTAACTGTTATAAACGAAATCCAGATAGAATTTCTTTTTCTTAGAAAAATAGTTTGAAAGCAATTCAGCAAAAATATTCTTCATTTTGATAATAATTTTTGTAAACGGAAAAATGAAGATGTTTCAGCAAAGAAATTTTTTTCAGAAGCTGTACAATCGTATTTATATGTAGTTTATACATGTAGTATTCTATGATAAAATGGGAGGAACTTTTCAAAATTATCAAAGATAGCCAAATGTATTTAAGGAGAAGTTAATGAAAATAAATTAATAATGCATAAAACAGTAAACATTGTCAAAACATTCAGTATTGTTTGTTTGAATCTTCCCATCGACGTGTTAGGACTACAACTGGTCAGTCTATAATTGGTATATGTGAATACTGTGCGTATTGTCTCGATATAGCCATGCTTGTGAATTAAGGCAATTACGATAAGCCAATTACAATAACGTGATGGCGTTTGAAGCGAGGGTACTGGTTTGAGTCCCAAAGTGAACATCAACGAGTCTGAGATGCAGGTACATCCAGCTGACGAGTCCTGAATAGGACGAAACGCGCATCCCGGACTCCACTGCTAGCCACTATCCATCTCTGATTATCAAAACAGTTTTTTTTAGGTTATAAGTACTATGGTAGAAGGCTGTTATTACAGAGTAATCAAAGTTTTCAAGTATTGAACAAAAAGGGAGTTGCCTAAGCAGTTTATGTTACTTAATAGTTTTAGAAGTGATAAGAGGTGGTAATATATAAAATAAAAAATAAAGATAACTGTCTACCTAGTAAAGAAAGAAAACAAGTTAATAATTAGCAAAATAATTTGTAAAATTCAAAGATGTAGTAAGACCGTGGGAGAATAAGGGGTTAAACATTGTTCTTCTATACACTTAGTTCAGATGTCAAATGGTGAATTAATGTACTCTCGTCTGTGTACAAATTCCTCACTCTAACATTTTTTACAGTCAATTCTTTTTAATTTGTAAAGGATTTTGAATGAAGATTGATGTGGTAGGGTATGACCACAATTATACTTTTGTTCAAGAACTGGGCTAATGATCAGTTTGTATCCTACTTCAGGTAACCAAACAAATTAATGCTCAGATATTCCTTCAACAACTGCTCGCTTTGTACGACCGACATAACCTGCTCCACAAGGACAAGTAGGCTAGTAGATTGTTTAAATTTATTTATCAATCATCAACACATACGGTAGTCTAATAGAATCGAATGATATCGATGAAGTTGCAATATTGTCACTAGTCCAGGTGACTCGACACTGCGTGCACTATGGTTGGAGGTGGTCAACAGGAAACCTTGGACCTAGGTTTCGTGCTACTTTGCACTCGTCCGCAAAGTGTAGCTGTAATCTTGAGGGAACTGGTGCTCCCTGACGGATTCGATCCTGTGTCACCCAGCTTCACAGTCAGAGACGTGACCACTGAGCTATCCAGTCCGTGACCGACCTCCTGTTGGACTGAGATGTGATCACAATTGATTAATCACTGGGTGGTGATGATGCCATATGTTTCAAGTCTTTCTTAGTGCAGTTTAATAGTCTAATAGAATATATATATTCCTACTACAACATTAACGGAATTCATGAATATTTTGAATATAAAGCTGCTCTTGGCAAACCGAGTGAAGCAAAGTAACAATTAATTAATTTCAAACGAATACACTGGAATACGGTTGTGCGATATTACGAATTGACTGAACTTAAATATGTAAACCATTGAATGCCATTTCAGTGATTTAAATGCTAAAATGAAGTTTGAAATAATGACCCTTAAGGGTATAAATGACAACTCGATCCTGATAGAGTAAAAAATAAGATTTTAATACAAAGTATATAATAACTAATCTCAGAGATTGAAATTTAAATAATTCCGATGTTTCGTCTAGCAAACTTATCTGGACTTCTTCAGGGTAGCAATCAAAACCATCAAAGAATAATTAATATTTTTTACAATAAAATCAAACATATACTGTTCTTAACCAATCATATTCAGATGTTGACTTTAGTAAGTAGTATCACACGAGTCAGTTGGATGCTAATCATATGAAAAGTTTACAATGTGAAGATAAAGTAATGGGTGATAGTGAGTGTGTGTGCGCATGTGTAAGTTTACGATATTAGTATTTGATATTATGTGTTTATTTGTTTTTATACGAAGTAAACATAAGAGTGCAATTCGAAGGTTGAAATTGTTTTTTTGAATTGTCGATGTGAATGTAACATGAGAATCGTCAAATACATAATTGTATTGATAAAATATTTCAGATTAACTTTTGTCTGAATAACGATGCACGTGAGATAAACAGGTTGGATAAAGATAGGGATCAATTACCTGTCAATGAACATTTGAATGTGATAGTTAGTTGAATAACATCTTTCCTGTTTAAGATGTTTATATTACCTCATATATACAACGCTTCTGCAGTCAATCTTCTTGAAAACATGCCAAAACCTTTCTGAAGTATTTTTGGTCCTGTCAAAATTGATCATGAGCCCTGTTTCTAACGCATTCAACGCTATCGCCAACCTATTCTCAAGTTTTTCCCACATTAGCTGCATTGCAATCATCACAGTTGTTCTCATAGACCATATTCTGCTGTTCTTACTTTGGAAATCTACCTTAACTTCTACTAATGCTGATCTTATGGTATCATTATCCCGAAAATGCACGCTTATATTATGTTTGTTTAGAATCCTCTTTATTCATTCCGATGTTTCTCTACGGGATAGGATGACCACGGTGGTTTTCTAATATTTCGGTAAACACTCTAGTTTAATTTTCCTTTCATTTCTAGTAATCTTCTTTGATAACTTTTTTGTCCAATTGTTCACCCTAAATGTAGACACAACTCCATTTAATCAGACCTGTTGATCTTTCTTCTCTGTTAATATTACTTTGAAGTGAATGCTTTGAATATGGAGCCAATTTGATTACTCTATCTGCAATATAAAAAACAATAAACTTAATATGTTTAAATTATTTAGCTCAAATAAAATTCATCATTTTTTTAAAAATCTTAATGACAGCTTTAGTTTATGCTACTATATTCGGGAATGTAACAACCATTGTTCAACAAATGTATGCAACACGTACACGATATAATGAAATGATGAAAGGAGTTAAAGATTTTTTAAAAATTCATGAAGTTCCAAGAGAGTTAGGTGAACGTGTTATTGATTATATTACATCATCTTGGTCAGTAACCAAAGGAATTGATACAGTGAAAGTGAGTTTTTGTTGAGCTTTACATTTAATTTATAGTAAAATATATTCTTTACTAGAAATAAGTTTCATAATGAAACCGTGTTAATGTATTACTGACAGATGTTCTTTTGTTAAAATTGCACTTATATTAAATTTTAACATGACTTTCTTCGGTAAATATCTAGAATAAAATTCAATAAATCTTATAATTAGGTTTAAAGCATTGTAATCAAAGATGGATGGTGGTTAGTAGTAGAATCCACGACGTACGTTTCGTCCTATTTGGGATTCGTCAGCTGGATGTACCTCCATCTCAGAGTTGATTGATCAATTACAGTCCTAAACACCAATGGGAAGATTTAGACAAACAATACAAAAATGAATTATTTTGAAAGAAGTTGACAATATGTTTCATGTTGTTTGTTGTAATGAAAGGCCTATATTAAGGATGATATTATTCTAACTGAAAAGTTAATATAATTTTAAGCAAGCCACAAGCAAATATTTTGAAAGAATAGTTTATGGTATATGTATATGATATATATTGCCTGTGAAGCTGAAGGTCTTATATGAGACTGGAGGTTCGCCACTGACATTGTGGATGGTTGGGAATTACTTTGGCACGTTATGCTGACTGTTCATGTGAAAAGTTGGTTTGCTGGTTAACCGATTTCATTCATACTGTTGGTTACTTTTCATTGTTCTCAAGGGCTTTTGTCATTGAGGCATTGTAAGGCATATCGCCATTGCTAAAATTAAGGAGATTGACTGTCGTGTAATCGGAATGGGTCAACTTTGGCCTGTTCATGCTGTGCACAATTGATTTATGCGAACACTGACCGGAATAATTATACATGTGATTTGAATGTGTATATGAATGGTGTGAATGGTCCATCAGGGTGCTTGGTACCTGTGTGGTCGCGCCACAGGATTGAGCTGTGCTGTTCAGATTATAGCGTTGAAGCCTATATAGTGTCTGGTTCTCCTGGGGGCGAAATTGAGCTGTACTATTTGGGTTGTTACGTGAAAGGCTGGATGGTGTCTGGTTCTCTTGAAAACCAATTCAAAATTACCCTGGCCCACAAGGGTATATTATATAACTAAATAATATGATATATTTTCACAGTTGAAATCATGAGTCAATTGTAGCTAGACCACCATCGAAAACCTGGAAGCACTGGACGGCCGTTTCGTCCTATTATGGGACTCCTCAGCAGTACGCATCCACTGACTTCAAGAGATATTTCCTTGAGTTCTAGTGGGAAGCAGTGGCCAGTGGAGTTCTACCAGGTCTGTTGTAGAGATATCATCTCACTGAAGACAATTGGTGAACGGTCGCTCAATATCGTGGATTGGTTGAAGTTAGACATTAACACCGTTGGATGCCAGCTCAGTGGTCTATCGGTTAAGGGCTTCGGCTCAAAACTGGTAGGTCCTGGATTCGAATCTCGCTCGCGAGAGCGGGTTCGTGGATGCGCACTGCTGAGGAGTCCCATAATAGGACGAAACGTCCGTCCAGTGCTTCCAGGTTTTCGATGGTGGTCTAGCTTCAATTGACTCATGATTTCAACTGTGAAAAAACTAAATTCTCCACAAAACCCCCTCTGAAATATGATATATATAAATGTTAGTCAATATTTGAATGAATAGTTTGACAGAAATTGGGCTCCGAGTATGTAGAAAATATGTTTCAGAGAAATTATTTTTGAAATAATCTCAGTGATTGAAATTTAAATAATTTTCCTTAATAATAATAAATAAGGTCTTACTATATTAGTTACTTGAAAAGATGATTTAAACGACAATCAGGCATTTCTAAGTAATATATTGAACTTTATTAGTAATATAATATAAGCCAAGTCCCACTAGTTTGATGATCTAAATAGCACACAATTCTAGTATAATTTATATAGTATAATATATTAGCATGGTATTCAGCTATAGTACAAAACCTTTACATCAACTTGAATAGAGTGATTTATTATTAGAGCTGACTACTGTTTAAGTAGACTACTCAAAATCTTTTCAAATTTATTCCACATATATCTGAATTTAGTCAATGTGAATACTGACAGCCAAACAAGTAATATAACATAAAAAAACTGATCCAACAAAACGATGCATGACAAAAAAGACAACAAACATTCAATTGTCTATCAATGTAAAAGTTAGATAGCAACTATTTTTTTTCTTCTCATTTTCTGTTCATCCTATTACTAGTTAGGGTGTTTTGTTGTGACAAATGAAGTTTATCAGTAGGGGCTTTTGAAGAGATTTCAGTAATTTTATAGTTGAAATCATGGATGTGCACTGCTGAGGAGTCCTACAATAGGACGAAATGGCCGTCCAGTGCTTCCAGGTTTCCCATGGTGGTTTAGCTTCAATTAACTCATTATTTCAACTATAAAATAAAGTTTAATCAATGCAAATGACTCTAGTTTTAAGTTGTGTATCATTTGTTAATCAACAGTTTCATTATAGTTAACAAATTAAGCTTCAAGTAAGGCTGCAAAATAATGATGCTTAGTTTACTATATAACATAGTCTGAAGTCGTAAATCCAATTGACAACTAAACTATGTTAAACAGAAAACATATGTAAATATATTTTCACTGAATGTCTTTTAACAGTGTAAAGTTATTTATTACCTGGCCCATTATAGTGCTGACTAGCGAAGTAACTATATTGTGTATACTTTGTTTGGAAATCATACTTTAGTATTTGGGACTGAAACATGATATGACAATGTCATTCAATACAATTTAGACAATGATTGCGACAAATAAATTTTGGAGTAATCACATATATAAAAATATATATCAGATTATAGCCTAACTATATCATAAATTAAGGAAAGGAACAAGAAAAATATATCATGAGTCAGTTGAAGCTGGACCATCATGAAAAGCCTGCAAGCAGTGGACGGCTGTTTCGTCCTATTGTGGGACTCCTCAGCAGTGCACCTCTACGATCTCAGGATCTACCAGTCTCATAATTTCAACTATAAAATTACTAAAATCTCCACAGACCCTCTTCTGATAAAAATATACCAGTTGGCAATCGGGACAGCTTCTTGTCTTTTTGAGAAAAGAAAATTTTAGTTAAGACATTTATCAAGATGTCAAGCTACTATTACTAGGCTAAGAAGAAAATAGAAGTTGATCAACAAGAAATAGATAACCACATATAAGTAGATTCATTTAAGCAATAAGTACTAAAGGACCAATGAAGATAAGTGTTGTAAACATAAGAATGATTAAAGTCTACAGGAAAGTTTTATTCATTTTGGCATTAATATTTCCTGTTACAAAAACTATCGAAATAACCTGAAGGTACACACTGTGCTATGTGTTATTTTTCATACATCAATTCATTTGATAGTTTTATCATCATCTATGTACTGACAATATACTATACTTTCTACTGAAAGCAATCATTCACTCTAATTTTCAAATATACATTAAATTAGATTGTTATATTAACATTCTAATTATTTTAAGGTATTAAACTATTGTCCAAAAGATATGCAAGCAGATATTTCTGTTCATTTAAATCGTTGTGTATTCAATAGTCATGCTGCATTTCGTTTAGCAAGTGATGGCTGTCGACGTTCATTAGCTGTTAACTTTCAAACATTGCATACAGCACCAGGTGATTTAATCTGTCATCAAGGTGAAAGTGTTGATCAATTATGTTTTATAGCAAGTGGTACTTTAGAAGTATTGCAAGATGATGAAGTGATAGCGATACTCGGTAAGAATTATACGGTATCTTTTCATATTTAGTATTTATTGTGTAAAAACAATTCAATATTTGTTAACAAAAATTTTTGGAGTCAATGAAGTTTTTAATGTATTAGCATATTCTGTAGAGACCTAAGCATCAACTGCGACAAATGATAATGATTAAGTTTGGTAAAGATCACATTATATTATGCATCAAATGAAATCCAAATTTTGGGGATATAAAATTATAATCCATGGATCAAACAACAGCATACATACGTACTTATTTACGTATGTTATCCCTCGAGGAGAAGCATAGGCTCCTCACCAGTATTCCAAACAACAGTTTCCTGGGCAATCCTTTCCAGTTGCTATTCATCCTTTGCATATTTGCTTTCAATTATTGATGTAATGTGCTCTTCGGCCTTCCTCTTTACCGTTTCCCTTCAGGATTCCAAGTTGGCTCTTACCTCGTATTGGAATGTGATGATTTCCGCAATATATGTCCTGTCCATCTTCAGAATTCTTTCCTGATTTCGTCTTCATCTGAAACCTGATTTGTTCTCTCTCACAGTAGATTGGTTAAAAAAAACTAATCAAATATCGCATTCTGTAACCAAAATTTAAAAATTAAAAACTCATCGCTTCAAGGTTTTCATTTTTTCTCCGGTTGATTTTTAGTCCATGATAAAAAACGTACCTTATTCTGTGCCCTGATAAGTCAAGTTCATTAAATCCGTATTCTTGAAGCAAATGACTATAAATTGTTTAGATTAACAAATAAATGATTTAAATTTTTCTAACAAACTTGTTCAACATTTAACTGTCTCCAACACTACAGTATATTTAAAAAGTATAAGTTGTCACACACTATATAACTGCGGATGATTTTTTTGTTACAGGCATTATCTTCACTAACTTTTTCACTGCCTACTAAATGTAGCATTCCTGTTTCATCCCCGTCACCAGTTTTTATAACGTATAGTTGCTTTCGTGCCAATGAGGGAGGAGTGATTATCGATCGGAGCAGTGATGCATAAAATCGTACGAGCAGTCTTGATTACTATTGGGTCCTGCTATATGCCTAGCCCAGCCAGTTGAGTCCAGAACACAAATAACAGCCTCGGCAATATGAATCATTATTTACAAACATACTGAGTTTTTATGCAAACCAAAGTAATCAATAAACTGATTATAACTCAAGAATCGTATGATAATAAGTCAAAGGTCAAAATAAAGCTAATGATAAGAGAAATACGAATATGAATATTTCAGTTACGCAATAATTGTACAATAGGAAATAGGCATATCACATTGATCCATAAATAGACCTAAAAGTTACCATTCGTAATTCACCGGGGGATATAACAGTTATACTAAATGATACTGACATTGTCTCTGGTAATAAGTCATGCTACTCCAATTTCAATACCATGAATGAAACTATTCTATCTTATTCTTTTCCTGTTCCGCTAACTACGGTAAAAATATCAGTTTTCTTTCCTGATAAACCTATTTGCTTTAAACCCAGTATAACCAATCAAAATACTTAAAGTTGACTCAATATATATCAATGAACATAGTGTTTGGAATATTTAAAAGTGGGTAATTGTCATTCACTCAAAATATCGTAAAAAGGCAGTAAAATTCTGTGAATAGGGTTACCGCTGAATAAGTCATGGTAACAAAACTTCAAATTAATTAGTGCTGACTTCCTTCTTATTAGTTGTAATTTGAGATAAGATATTCTAAACAATAATTACATTAACAAAAGTAGTTATGGTATCTGAAATAATTCTCTCCGCAATACTAAAGCTATTGTAATACGTGTATAGTGATCTGTAAAACTGTATGCTTTCTCAGTGATAATAGCTTCTGACAATGTATATAGTTTATCAAACATAGAATAATGTCATCTACCTTTAACTACACTGTATATCATATCTAATGGTACTATCTAGATACTATCCAAACAACAGAAGAAGTAGAGTTATTTTACTACAGTTTTATTTTGGGAAGTTGAATGCTTAAACTAATAAACAGGTGCTGTAGAATTGTCTTTTGATAGATTGATCCAGTATTCATTGAATAAAACTTTTGTCATAGTTTCTGAGATGTTCGAGAAGATTTGTAGCTTAGATGGATGAATTTGATGACGTTTTATTCTATGAGCTGGATGGTTAGGTCGTGTAGCTTTCACCGTTCTTCTGAACGACATCATCATGATCAAAGCTCCATGACTAAACCATCCAGCTCAGAGAACAAAACTCCATCAAAATCATAGTTCCTGTTATATTAATATAATGAAAGCATCGTGTTAAGTGAAATATATGAAGGTTACTATGGCAAATTACAATATGGTATAGTTTCATTGGTTTCTTATTAAAATGTTGGTAAGAAACTGTATTATCTGTGTATTTATTGAGTAGAATGTTAGTTTTAATGGTTGTTAAGTAAATACAAAATTATTTATTCATTATTTTTTTATTAAGTAGATATAAATTACTACCTTTGGTGTTGAACAGATAAAATTCTAGATTTGGTTGAGTTATTAGTTTGCTATGGAAGAATAAATGACTGACAAACAAATAGAATGACTGGAAAGAGAGAAATTCTAACCTACCTGCATAAATGAGACTAAAATCACAACTAAATAGTTGCTAAAGGATAGAATCTCTAGACAAGTGAATGACTATATCAGAGGATTAAGGTCATCATATATTTTCATTTAAAATGTTTAACCAATATCATATAGTTTGCCAGATAATTAACAACTATTCGGAAAAAAATTTCATTTTATTCTCCCATCCTCAATAGAACCTAAATATAGTATGCAAATCGAAATACTGTTACAAATGGGAAATATAGTGACGTGTTTAAGTTTGAAGCTTAAACAATGGTTGGCTAATTTTTACTCTTATCACAAAAAAGTTTGAACATTTAACAATAGCTATGATTTCCAATATTTATTATTTATTTAAACACACAAATATTGGTACAAGGAAAAACCAGATAAATATGCGCCGTACAAATCTTATTCGATTTGTGTGAGGGCTTTGATATTGCCCGGGTGCCCAAACTGAAGCAAGTGGTTTTCTTAGGAGGCCACACCCGGAGCCTTTGTCCTAAAGGTCTGATCCACAAGGCAGTGGAGCATCGTGATGGGATGCTGTCCCATGGTAGCCGGTAACCAACGATTGGTTCATACGCCTTTTGTTCCCTCAGGATACTGGAGCCCATGTGCACCATTTGTTTGGAATCAGGGTTTTCCAACTCCCCTAGGTGGACTTTCCGTGTCCACCGACCCGGTTAGAGTGCCGAACATTCGCTTTTCGTCCTCTCAATTTCGTAAACAACAGTAATGCCACAAGAAGGCAGTGAGTAGGACTTTCGTGGCAGAGGCTATATACTCGTGGCCATGTGAGAGCATTTCGAGAGGGAGAGCGGACTCTCCCTACTCTTGTCTGTACCAGGGCATTTGAGGGTGAATTCCAATAAGTTAATGTTACATAACCTTGTCAGTGGTTATCTGTAGAACAAGGATTACAGTCACTCTAATCAAAGTTGTATATAAACTGGTAGGAACAATTTATGTTTTAAAGCAATATTCTATTTGATTATAGCGAAGTGCAAAGAAGAAGTGCTTTGTGAAATACAGACTTAGCATTAAACAATATCCTATTTTCAAGCATTTTATTATCTACTAAACCTAATCAACATAGTTAAGAAGCATATTCATTTCCCTTAGTGTTCACTACTTTGATAGAGTTACAACTCAATAAATATAATCGATGAATTGCAAATTGAGTAGTATTTTATATCTTTACCAAAAAATCTTCTGAAAGCTATTGGTTCCATTTAATATTCAAATGTCACTTATCCTAATGATAACTCTCAACTATTTAAAATTAGACCTTCTTAACTAGTTACAGCGTTCATCTAAACATCAAAACAATAAACTTTTTATTATTCTTGACTTATCATAAGTCTTTATGTAACTTCAGATAATTTCGAACATATCACAATTCTTGTAATATTATTTTCTGTTTTAAAGGGAAAGGTGATGTTTTTGGTGATCCATTATGGAAGAATACAGTGTCAGTACCAGCGGCAGCTAGTGTTCGAGCGCTGACTTATTGTACATTGCATACAATACGATTAGATCGTCTACGAGTTGTTTTAAACTTCTATCATGCATTTGCAAATAGTTTTACAAGAAATTTAGAGTTAACTTATAATTTATGCAATAGAGTAAGTTTTATGTTGGTTTATAGTTCTGTAAACTTATATTTCATTCTTTGATGAGACATTTACCCAGTGTTTTTAAGTATATATAGTTGTTAGCAAAGATGGACAGGCGTTTCGTCTCATTTGGGACTCGTCAGCCGCATGTACCTGCATCTGAGTTGATGTTATATCTGGGACTCGAACCCACTATCGTTCGCTTCAAACACCATTGTGTTATCAACTTAGCTACTGAGTCCCGATGACCACCTGATTGTGCAATAGGGTGAAGTTATATTCACTTGGTGTTGTATACTTGTATCTTCCGACAGGATGCACATATGCCAACAAGAGACTGAGCAACTGCAGTCCTAAATAACAATGGGAATATAAAAGTATACAACACCAACTGAACATTTTTAGTTGTTGATTTGAAAAAGTGACTTTGTTCCATTATTTAATGTATATTGTTTCGAAAAAGTATGACTAAAGTATTTGTTTGCAATAATTTGTATAGTATCAAATAATAGTTGTAAACAAAAGCTATTACAAATCTTTATAAATGGATTCGACAATAAATAACAAATGAGGTGACGTACTAATCAAGGGGTAAGGAAGAAAATAATTTATGGGTCAGATAATAGTTCAATTAACAGATATGAAGAAGAGCGACAAACACAAAGGTCATAATAATAATAATCTGAGTAATAATCAAGAAAACTTGTATAAGGAAATAATAATAAAAACTTCACCCCATCGCACAAGCAAGTGGCTATCAGGACTCAGTGGCCGAGTGGATAACGTGATGGCGAGGGTACTGGGTTCGAGTCCCAGAGTGAACATCAACTCTGAGATGCAGGTACATCCAGCTGACGAGTCCGAAATAGGACGAAACGCGCGTCCTGGATTCCACTGCTAGCCACTATCCATCTCTGCTTACCATGCTTGTGAATTAAGGTATATCGAGGCAATACGCACAGTATGCACATATGCCAATTAGAGACTGACCAGTTGCAGTCCTAAACACATCGATGGGAAGATCCAAACAAACAATACTAAGTGAATTCAATAATAATAACTGATTAGAGATTAAATGTAAAGTAGTAATTTAAAAAACAAAAAACCGATAATAATCAGATAAAAGTACAAAAAACAAAAATCCAAAAAACGTACCCAATGAGGGAATTAGGGCCAAGGAAGGGTAAGAGGTTGGACAAATCGTTTCTGCACGCAAAGTTCAGGCTTGAATTCATGGATTGCCAATGCCTCAGCAGTGCATTTTCTTATTACAAATCATTTAAGTCATTTACCTTTGTCGTGACAAATGCTAACGTTGTAATAATTGAAATTGAAACATAAAGTGTTGGGGAATAGTAAGTTTCAAGGTGTTAGTTAGTAGACCAAACTAGAGTACGATTCATAATTGATTATATGAAGACGTACAAAATCGGTAATTAGATTATAATAATATGTTAAATTGTTGCATTGGTCCTCAGTTTTATGTCGATTTTACACTAAGTTTATATTAACTCGTTGTACAAATTCATCATGATGTATCAGAAGGGGATCATGTGGAGATTTTAGTAATTTTTCTATATAGTTAAGATCATGAGTCCATTGAAGCTAGACCACCATGGAAAACCTGGAAGCACTGGATGACCGTTTCGTCTTACTGTAGAACTCCTCAGCAATGCGCATCGATGATCCTGGTCCTGAATTCGAATACCGCGAGGCGGGATCGTGGATGCGCTAGCTTCAATTGACTCATGATCTCATCATAATGTACTTGAAAGCTTGATTATACATATGCCGTAAGTTAGTGAAATAAGACTTTTATAAAAGCACTTGAAAAATACGCATAGACTGATGTTTTACGTCTATGGTTTAGATTACAGTGTACATTGATTCTTTCAATCTACCATCATTTAAGTTTAAGACAGAAATGTTTCATTAATTGAATAGATGATTTCTTGGAGATTTTCTTTAATATATTCTATGAAATATTCATATAGCTGTTATTAATAAAGTATCTTTCTTTTGGGGATTGTAATGATCATTGTTAGCTATTTTTCTTGATGTCTATATCTATTTACATTAATTAATTATTAATCAACTAAAGTATTTTTACCTATTTTAACCAGTAATGTCTATAGTGTATCTATTGTGAGGCCTAATGAAAGTAAAAAGCAATATACATTATATTGAATTTTTAATGTCATGGTTGAAATGAAGTCATCACAATTCAAATCCAATAGTTAGCTAAATACTTTCCCGTAACTGAACCTGACGTTACATACTTTTTCTTAAATTCTAGATTTGCGTAAATCATCTGATAATTTCATATTTACAAATGACTAACATCAGAACAATTTTTGAAACACGAGAAATCAGCTCTGCCGATAACCAAGTTACTAATCAATGATAATGAATGATTATTTTGTGAATAACAAGTTGATTGGACTTAAACCCAAAAATACTTCGAATGCAACTCAGTGGTTTATTGTTGTCATGTTCATTGGAAGATTGCAAAAATCTTTTTTACGGTTATTTGCAACAGTCTCAGACATAAACAATAAACCTGCTATTTGTTCTTAAGCATGCTATAATTAAATTATATTGACTTCTGTGATAGAATAGCTAACTACGAAATATAATTTTTTTTCTGTTTATTTTAGGTGATATTCCGAAAGTTGTCTGATGTAAGACGTGAAATGGAACTTTCAATGAGAAATAAAGAGCCACCATTGAGTTCATTACCAACAAATCATCCAGTAAGAAAATTAATCTCTAGATTTCGTCGATCAAGTCAAGTTGGAGATTTATCTTCTAGGCAGTATTTAGGTACAATTGTTTCATATAATACATCATTAGATGGTTCAGAATTTGAAAATTCAAGTATTTCTGATACAATGGCCAATAGTACCGCTGATAAACCAGGCTCAATGTGTAAATCTCCATTACCAGGCAATGGTACTTATAATGATCCTAAAATTACAACTCCAATGTCGAGTCCCGTTAAAGTAACTCACAAAAACTCTATTGATTTACAACCACAATCAGAACCTCCTGTTGTTACAGCTAGTTCACTGAAAGGTCAAAACCCCGCAAGAAAATGGGCCCGTCTTATTTCTAAGTAAGTTGAATAACATAAGAATTTCTACAACCTCAATTATATGTTGTAATATAATGGGAAATAACCATTTAAGAAATAATTTTCAAATGATCATAAATATTCTTGAAAGGTTTAAAAATATAAGTAGCTACATAATGTACCACTTAAAAGGTTACAAAATGTTAGGTATATTCCTTCTTAATGGTCACTACCATTAAGGTGGCGAACTGATGGATCAACAGAAGAATTTCTACCTCTAGTGATTACGAACTATTTATTTCGACGAATGTTTCACTTACTGATAAGAGACATCATATTTCGGGTTAAAATTATACTGCTTATTATTAAAGCTTGTTAACATCTGTTAAGTTGGAATATATCAAGGTAATGACAGATAAAAAAATCCCAGGGTCACCAGTTTAACCAATCAGAAGATATGATGTAAATTACCTGTTAATGTTCATTATGATATTATACTCCAAGAAATTCTAAAATCTATTAACACTTAGAAAGTTTAGAATATATTACCATCAAATGTTTTCACTATTACACTCTCTTAATTAAAATAACAAAAGTCAGGAGTTTGGGTATGTTGTGTTTGATCGTATCTCCTACGCTGTTTCATATTTTAGCAGTTTTATTAAATGATGAATTGATTGAAATAGTAAATTAAAACAATATATAAGTGAACAATATCTTGATAAAAAACAATATTGTTTGCTTATATGTGTTGCAAATTGCAGCATGTGATTGGAACGGTTACCGAATTAAGATTTGAGGTGATGAATTAGTTCACCAACAAGTTATCCTTATCGATCTAACGAATTTGCTCCAGAAATAAGATTTCTAAGAGACACTTTGTCAAGTAATGTTGATCACTAGCTAACAAAAAATACAGTCTCCAGACAACCCGTGTGATATATATATATATATAGGCCTAATAAAACTATATTACTTCTGAGTTTCTAAACAGCAACTATTAATACATTATCATGACAAACAAATTTTCTTACCTGTACGGTTGAACTGGGAGAAACATTTGTCTCATGTCAGAAACGTCTTGTGAATTTATCTTCTTGAGGTTTATGCATTCATGATAGTTTTTATATTCAACGTGTGTCTGAAACCATCTGTAATTCGATAATATCTGACGTGATGTTTTGACATTTTTATCATCCGTAAAATGTTGTTTTGAGCTATAAAACTGTACCGACGGTTACAAGCACTAACAAATAATTCTAAAAAATCTGTCAGAATGGAGATTTTGAACAACAACATTATACGAAATGAAGATAGGCCCGTTCGATAGGTAATAGATTGCTTGAAAGAGTAATCATTTATGATTATATCGTTGATCGCTTGTATATGTGAGTAGTAGTTTCGCAACACATTGAAAAAAATATTTCGACTCATTAGTGAACGAATTGTTTCTTCAGTAATATTAACTCAGATTGAATCTTTGAAGCATAATGTTTTAAATGCATACTCTTCTACTAATGATAATGTGAGGTAATTGAGTTCTTCTTGACTCATTATAACTATATCACCCTCTCATGTTATTGCCAGATAAGTCATCATATATTGTATGGGTTCAATGATCTGACTTGAACAAATGATTTTTCTAGTTCCTTCTGGCTACGAAAACTCATAGGTTTTAACTAAGAAACCATCTGAACACACCATAGAATTTAACAATATGAAATGTGGGGCTGTTTATCTGTACAGTGGTCATATGTATCCATGAATTCAGCAGTCTTGTGAATGTATGTACTGCTACCTGAGTGATTTTAACGTTCAACAACGCTAGTCTTCAAGTCTATTATTTGATGGTGGCTAGAATTCCAGTCAGTGGTGTTTGTACTGTTCTCTAAATAAAATAAATGTACAAGTTTTCTTTTTTACCATGTAACTGATAATCTGTCACCTCACTCTCAACCTTTATATATAAACAGAGATTTCGCTTACTAACTTACTAGCAATTTATGCTTATTCTTCATCATTACATTACACTATTCACTTCCTTCTTCAAATATGACTCTATTTCATTATTGTCTATTATTTAATTTTATTATATATTGGTTCTAATATTGAAAGTTAACAAATGAACTACAGAATCGAAATCCGAATGTTATTACTCAGTGATGTCACCCGAAGTCATGATACACTAGAGAGATGTTTTGTCTTAGTTAACAACTCTCGAATAATGATCACCATGAGTCTAAGTAGAATCCATCTATAAATAATTATCTTGTCAAATTTTATTCTTTACTTTAGAGCAACACAACCACCATTACATAATTTAAATGAAGAACCAAATGAAGACTCAAGCCGTTTACCGTCAACACAAGCAAAAAATTTGTCAGAAATTCAACTGCCTACAAAATTTCCAGATGATCAAAATTTCACATCTACACCAGTTACCACAGTTGTATCACTAACTTCGGATCAAAATCCTATAATCGTTTCGACACAAACATTGACATCATTTACATCATCAATAAATACAATATCTACAATTAATTCTACTAATCTAACACCAAGTATACCATGTCAAGATTTGCATAGAATTGAATTAAACATTGAGAAATGTTTCGATAAATTTCATATAAAACTTAGTCAACAAATAAATGAAATTGTTAAACGATTAGATAGTTTAGAAGGACAAATTGTTGAGTTACGTAATACTTTTCATAATCCCAATAATACAAGTATAACTGAGTCAAAAATTGATCATTCACAACCGAATACTCTGATATCAACTAATAATAATAATAGTAAGAATAATAATAATAACACTGGTAGTACAACAAATAATCATATCTCCAAGATATGTATCAAATAAAAACATGTTCAGTTAAATGTCAGCTACAACGTTGGAGCTGGCACACATATGCATCGGTCCAAGTCGCCATGCCTTGATAGCAGTTAGTTAGCAGTTAAATAATATAATCATTCTATGGAACTATTGAACTTTGAAACTTCACTAGTCATAAAACATATTCATTTAGCTGTCTTGAGCCAAGTTGAATGTCATGGGTTTTTTATTTTTAATCATTAAACAAACACACTTGAGAAAGTATAGTTCAATCAGTATTATGTATAAACAGAAATGAGTGAAAAAAGTTGATATTTGTAATATTTTCTATTTCCACCCCACCCCCCAAAAAAAACATATTAAAACAAGAGATATCACTAAGTAATGAAAAATTGTTTTTTGAAAACATCCAATCACATTTATGTATCAGTTTATGTATTACATAAAAAAAAACAAAAAAAGAAACACTATAAATATTGTATTTACAAAAAAGGGATTGTTTTTCGTTTGATATACAATATTCAATCTTGACAAAATATATTCCATGGATATCATAGTAAAAATGAAATATATTTTAATAAAGTGTGAATGAGCTGTTTCTTTTTTCTTCAAAGATTTTTCATGGCATGTTTTACAACTTATTTACTTACCCCTATTACCCTCAATGGAAAATAGACCGCTCAACAGCATTCTACAATTCACTCTCTCCTCAGCTTTCCTTTGTAGTTCTATACAATTCTTGTTCATTCTTCTCGTAAGTTTTCATTTCTCAGTGTAATGAGTTCTATGATCTTCCTCTTCCACTTGAGTCTTGAGGATTCCAATCGAGGGCTTGCCTTGTGACTCATTTGTGTGCTTTCCTCAATGTGTGTGCTATCCATTACCAGTGCTTCTTCCTGATTTCTTCCTCCTCTGGAATCTGGTTTGTTCTCTGCCACAGTAGGCTGTTGCTGATAGTGTTTGGCCAATGGATCAGAAGTATTTTGCGTAGACAACTGTTAATAAACACTTGCATCTTCTGAATGATGGCTTACGTAATTATCAAAGTTTCTGCCCCATAAATTAGAACTATCGTGACACTTGTATTCGAAAAATTTCCGACTTTGGTGATGACTGATATTTGTTTTGAGTTCCGGATGTTCTTCGGTGGTAGATATGCTGCTCTTGTTTTGCTGATCTGCATCTTCATATCTGCATCAGTTCCACTGTGTTCATCAATGATGCTGCCCAGATATGTTAAAGATTTTGCATCCACCAAAGCTTCTCCATAAAGTGTGATTTGATCGGTGTATGTTGTGTTGTATCGGAGAATCTTGCATTTCCATTTGTGTATATTGAAATTTAATGCTACTGGGACTACTGCTATACTGATCGTCTTCTCCTGTATTTGTTGTTGCGAGTAAATTTTACAAGATTCATCTAAATTTCATGTAATTAATACTGTTATAATTGTACATAAAAGTTGTGAAATAGCCGGGTGTGCATAAATTATTTCCATCCTTATTTATAAAAACATTAAAATTAATAATTGAAATGATTGAAAAGTTAGAGAAATTCTTCGTAATGAATAGTGTTGAAGAATTTCAATGAGGAGATAATGAAAATTTCATTTCTTTTGGAATTTCACAGTTGAGATAAACATGAATGAGGAACTGTTTGAAATGAAAGTACATATTTAATAAACTTGAATTGAAAAAAGTATATAAGAGTTGTGTACCAACAAGAAGAAGTGTGGTTTAGACATACTGCAATTAGTTGTGAGCATATGTTCTGTCATTTTTCACAGATATATAATAACATGTATTGTACAGCCAAATATTTATCAAATTGAAACTGTACTGACAAAACAGAATATAATGATAGCCAAAATTGTTAGTCGAAAATAACTTTCCTAGAAAATTTCATAGAGTTAATATAAATTTTTCGGACACACAATTTAAAATTATAACTATACTGTGAAAAACTGTAATTTTACATTGGTTTTCAGGAAAATTAGAAGTCATACATACAATTCAAAACCTGAACAGTATAGCTTAATTCTAGGATACAACCACACGGATACCAAGAACACTGAGGAAACAGTTTCAGCAATAGATAAATGTTTAATTTCTTATTATGTTGGAAAATCAGGATATATGTGGAATCTCATACAACCTTGTACTTCAGCTGACGGAAACTATGAAAGTTCAGGAGGACAACAAGTCTTTGTGGGCGTCCTATATTTCTGTAGTCCCTCTGAATTTAATTTTCTCCAATAAAATGCGGCTGGTTGTTAATTTTTTTCCTAAAAAAGTTAGTATGACATTGTTCTGTACAGTATTGAGTCTTTCCAAGAACATTTAATCAATCCACTTTGCCCTAAACTGAGAATTGTTTGGTACTAACATCAGTAATATAACATTTATTTATATCTGCTAGTTAGCTAATTAATATCATTTCTTTCACAACCAATACATGATAACTTTCTACTCGTTTGATAATTTATAAGAATCAACACAGCATTTTGGTATTATAGCTGATGTCAGTTAGTGATGAAAACCTTAAGTTTAATCTCTTACTCTAACGTCCAACTGTAAATCCAAGTCTTAGTTTTTCACTCCAATTTTTAACCCTCATTTAACCCGAGTAAGTAAATGGACATTTCCAAGATTATTTAACCATTACTCAAAAGCGGTCCATAAATTATAGTTACACTTCAAAGTTTTATTTATTGATTAAGATAAAATCCACAGTGGTCAACAAATACAGTCATACTAGTTCAATCTGATATAATCAACTGCTTGAACTATGCTTTTTAAAATTCATGTCAAATTACATATTGACAGTCTGTAGTGCATTTTGAAGTTTGAGTAGTTAACAAACTCCCATAGGTTTTTAGTGGCCCTATATCTGACTTCAGGTCGATCGTATGATTGTTTGTTATTGAAATATACATATCGTCAATCGCCGTGTAAAATTATCGACTTAAATCGCGTTATTGAGTAACGAAATTAAATAAGTCAAATACGAGAATGGATTTTTGAATACATGTAGTTTTTACACTGATTGATCTAAACAGACAATCAGATGAACGAAGCGAAGGAAGCGAAGAAAAGAGAGCGAAGTGAAATGACTTTCAGTGGATATGACGTATAAGCCAACTCAATTTAATCAACAGTGAATCGATATTTATAGTCGGATAAAATTAAGTTACAGACGTGTGATGAGTAAGATAGGAAATGCACACACCTAGGCTGTTATAAAAGCATTCAAGGTTGATAAGCGAATAGTTGACAAGGTCAAAATGTGACTCAAGTAGAATGAATAAATTGGCTCGTCCGTAAGTTAGAATAAGCTATGTGCGCTTAACGTAGCAACCGACGCTACCGGTCATGAAACGAGTACAAAGCAAAAATGCACAGAACAGTTGTTTATCTTGGTGTAGAACATCACCGGACTAAGTATATACTCCTACATGTAGAATCTGAACACATATTATCAGGTCTTGCTGTGTGCACGATAACTTTATAAGAATGATTCACGATCTAAACCAGAAGTCAGAATAGATTATCCAGATTGATTGTAGATAATTAATTGAGTCAAGTTAAAATACTGAACATTAGGTTACATCTCAGTAAGTATCAACTATCGTCTTCATCTCATAATCTGAAGGTTCTACATTCTAACTCATGAGAAGTCATCGATGAATACTTTCGAGGAAACCTAGGCTGAAAAAAACCTCCCATGCTTCCAGACTTTCATCGATCGACAACTGAGCGCTAAGTGTAAATTGTATAAATGTCTTTGAAACACCCCTTGCTACATAGTATTATAAATTTATTCCATTTATTTTGTTTTCACATATTAACCTAAATTAAAATCAATTGTTTTCGAAATTGGAAAAACAAATTGATCGTCACTGATCACTAAATGTTGGTTCAAGTTAACTTTATCACCAACATGTGACTTCTTCTGCCTTCTGAGACTCAATGGTCATGAGTAACTTATGAAGATAAAATACAAAGTAAGCCACTGACTAGCTCGTTTGAGTCTTCTTGTTGATGTTATGGACCGTTATTGATAGGCTTTTTTGGGATTATGTGTATCACGTACAGATTGTTTTGATATTCCCATCAAGTTAGAAGAATTTTAAGCGTAGTTGAATAGTACTAAGTTGTAAAATCCAGAGTACAGGTTTCGTCCTATGCGAGACTCGTCAGCCGTACGTACCTGGAACCCAGAGTTGATGTACACTCCAAGACTTCAACCTAGTACTGCTTGCTTCAACTGTCATCGCCTTATCTACTTAGCTACTGAGTTCAAATAGTCACTCACTTGCAACAGATATGAAATTTAATTCAATTTGGAATGGTTTGGATTAACCCTGTTTTTGATATTTTGAGTGGAATTTGATCAGTTTTGGTTGGCATATGCCTCTAAGCAGCCAATGTGACACAAGTTAAAATGTAATAAGTAGAATATGGTCAGCAGTGAAATTCAGGACGCTCATTTTGTCCTCTTTTCGGAACTTTTCAACTTAACATTGATGTTCAGACTGGAACTTCAACCCAGCACCCAACGTATTGTCTACTAACGTACTGAGTCCAGACATTTACTTATGAATCGGAATGTGTTTTAATTCATTTGTATTAATTGTTTGATTCCGCTGCTAGCTCCTGTCTAATTCCGCTTGAATTGTTCATATGGTTTATATTATTTTATTTTCTTAAATAAAATATGTCGCTGTATAAATCTTTACTAAACGCTAAACTACTTAATCTTTGTAATAGGATTAGAGAGGTATACTCATTCATAAAAATTAGTCGCTCATGGCTGTTTTCTTCGGATAACTAATCCAATTTTGTAATTACCTGAGTTTTTATACCTAACAACTAAACTTATATTTTTCGATTTTTGTTGACAAACTATTCAAAATAGAAATTTATAGATACTTTCAAATTACTGCTTAGAGTTATGATTGATTTTTATAAATAATACACTAAGGAACAACCAAAATCAGTTTCAATTTAACAAGATAATCACATATAACAAATTATTTTCAGTTATTGAAGGTAGAAATTAATTATAAACTATTGTCAAACCGTGAATATTTATGATTCATTAGTCATTATAGAAATGATCGGTACTATTCAATAACTGATTACTGGTTACATATGAATGGTTTATTACATAACTGTTTAATTTTTTTTTTCATAATAGATGGTAATTTGAGATTAAAAATACACATTTATTGGTAGTTTGAAGATACGTAAAACATTTATGCATATTGATAATTATACTTAAATGACATATTTTATTTTGTAAGTGTTTGAACTTATATAAAAATGAAATGCTAGTGAGTGAGGTCATGAATTTACCGGACAAATTAATTTTTTTTGATGAGATGATAGTTCCTAATGAGAAATATTATCGGTCAGAAATACATTGGAATAAGATAATTTAAA